GGTGTAACGTTCGCTCACTGCATGTCTGCCCGGGCTCGTTGCTATTGACAGCGACCGTTGACAGCGACCGTTGACTGGCGGTTTAGCTTAGCTCGCAGTCCGGTTCAGCTCTACGTCACTCACTCACTGAGAAGGGAGGAAAAGAAACAACCCGAGCTGGTCTATGAACAGCAGGTGCACGGGAATACCACAGCACCTGCCGCTACAGGTAATGCTGTTAGATCCGACTGTGAACATGGCACAAACCCCGCTAAAGCTAGCCAGGTGATGTGTGTTTATGTTGTGATAACGCTAGAGAGGAGGGGGTGGGTCACTTGGGAATGATGCTTAATGGCAGCACAGTGTTTTAAAAAAAAAGGGGGTTGACGGACCAAATATGCGTTTTCTGTTTTTTTTTTTTTATCACCATGTTTAACACCGTTTTCTTCAGTTTGACAGGCAGTTTGCATCGTGACACAACGTTAGGTGATGCAGTGCTGTCCCCACTCATTCATGGTCCACAGGAGCAAACATGTACACATTCATCCCATGAGCAAAGCAAAACAGTCTCACTAAAAGGACATCACTAACTGCACTGTATATATGTTGTTTATTTTCATAGCTGTAGTAGGGCAATATGGCAAACTACGCCTGTCTTGATTGGTGACTACACAAGTGGCCACATTTATGATTTAAGAGGGTATGTCACTCTCAGTGTACAAAATGGTATCTATGATGATGATGATGGGGTTATTGTTTATGCTTCTGCTACTGCTGCATCGCTGCCAGGCTCAGGAAAGTCTGTATTTATTCCCTTTATTTGGATAGAGACAGTAGAGCGTCACAGACAAGATGTGAGGAATCAAACCTCGGCCTCTGCGGTAAAGACTCAGCCTTCATACATGTTGCATGCTCCACCTGGTGAGCTTCTGTGATGACCACATATTTCTTAAAGCAAGGAATGGGAGAAAAATATTTTCACAGACATCGAAAGATTTAAAATGATCCCCGGCGTTTCACATGTTCACAAAGCCAATGTTTTTTATTGGCCGAGGAAGAAGGACATATTTTGCTCTACACATTATCTGTTATTTTCCACTTATATGCACTGCATGCCCAAGATACTGTACACTGTCTCTTACATAAATTATTTTCATCATCAATTAATCTGCTGATTATTTGATCAATTAAACGGTCAATAAAGTCAATAAAACGTTCCACATTTTTCAACCAACAGTCCAAAGAAATTCAAAGTGCAATGATATAAAACACACAGGCTGAAAATACTAACATTTTTAGTTGGTACTAGTGTGAGGTTACTTGCGTTTTGGCAGCCCAATACACAATCACTGTATTTACATGAATCAAATGGAAGGAAATAGACTTGAATCCTAAGCGTATAAAGTGCTTGTGAACCACAATCTCTGTTTGGCCAGCTATGTTGATGAAAATAGAAGCGCGTTTGTTCCGTCGTACGAGCGTTTGACGACTAAAAAAACGTGGCTGAAGCACATCCTGTGTTAGTAGAGTGTAACACTTGAGGTCCTGCCAAAGGCTGGCTTTCATTTTAGGAAGAAGATTGTGGGCTCACTGCTGATGTCAGCCAGGGTTTGTATGAGGCCACAGTTTAGGGTGAGGAGGGGTGAGGAGGGGTGAGGTGAGGTGTCCTGACAAGAGGGTGGTAGGAACACAAACGTATCTACAAATATTCTGCTGTACTGTCCTCCTCTCCGTACACGAGCTGTATTAAAGAGCCACATTGAGATTTTGGCATGTTTTGGCCCACTATATATAATGTGTCCTCCTGCCACTTGAGATTTCACTTCATGATAGTAGTATAATTCTACTTGAGACAGGTAATCCACCACAGTAGATACTCATTCTGTTTACCGTAGCAGTGAATAAGTTGTTGGTCTTTTCAAAGGTTTGTGGGCATGGAAGAAATCAGTCACAACGTTTAGCCTCCCTGCTTTGGGGAATGGTTGGAAATAGTTGGGGTTTAAATCAAACGAATCTTTTCAGATAAGGAGTAGAGTCTGTAGTTTCAGTCAAACCTGTTGGTGTCGGCGAGGATGCTCCTCTAAATCGTTGTCTTGTTCGTCTTCACCACTGTAGTATTCGCAGAAACCAAGGAGGAGTTGAGCCGTGTAACAATAGCCTGTAACTAGAAACAGTTCTAGTCAAGTGCTTAGTGTGTGTCAAAGCTATTCGTTTTTTCCAGTTGCCGTCCTTTATTGCGTTGCCGTGTCGATTCAGTTGACACATCTGGACTGATGAGTGGTGGGGTAGCTGACTGACTGCTCCCTGCCCTCCGTTTCCATTTTTCTCCATCCCTCTTTCTCTTGTCATTTCAGGACTCTTATTTCCTGTGCTTCTCTCTCTCTTCTCACTGTGTCCCTTGTCATTTTTTCCTTGTTGCCTCTGGAATTAAATAACATTAAATAAATGTTGTCTGGCAGGTGCTTCCCCTGGCATGGTTGGTTCATCATGGCAGTGGATATCTCCATAGCAACAGCTGCCCTGGTGACAAGGGGTTGCCACTGTCTGGACATTCTCCTCTCCTCTCCTCTCCTCATCTCCCCTCTCTCCTCCTCTCCTCTCCTCTCCTCTCTCATCTCATCTCATCTCCTCATCTCTCCTCTCCTCCCTCCTCTCCTCTCCTCCTCCCTCTCCTTCCTCTCCCCTCTCATCTCCTCTCTCTCCTCTCCCTCCTTCCTCTCCCCTCTCCTCCCTCTCCTCTCCTCCTCTCCTCTCCTCTCCTCCTCTCCGTCTCCTCTCCTTCTCCCCTCTCATCTCTCTCCTCTCCTCTCCCGTCTCATCTCCCTCTCCCCTCTCTTCCTCCTCTCCTCTCCCCTCTCATCTCCTCTCCTCCTTCTCCTCTCTCCCCTCCCCTCTCATCTCCTCTCTCTCTCTCCTCTCCTCTCCTCTCTCTCCTCTCCCCTCTCTCCTCCTCTCCTCTCCTCTCCTCTCCTCTTATCTCCTCTCCTCTCTCCTCCTCTCCTCTTCCCCTCCCCTCCTCTCCTCTCCCTCCTCTCCTCTCCTTCCCTCCTTCCTCTCCTCCTCTTATCTCCCCTCCCTCTCCTCTCCCCCTCCTCCTACTCCTCTCCTCTCCTCTTCTTTCCTCTCCTCTCCTCTCCTCTCCTCTCCTCTCCTCTCTACTCCTCTCCCCTCCTCTCCTCTCTCCTCCTCTCCTCTCCTCTCCTCATCCTCACCCAGATTAAGGTTAAAGCTAACTGAAGCTTCATTGAATTACACTGTAGTCTTAAAGCTTAATCCAGAATTGTACTGTGCCTATAAAAAGGATCCGATCCCCTTGGATGTAATTACTAGGGCTGGTTATCATTTGAGTTTTTTTTTTAAATCAGAGCTAATACAAGAGTTTCTGTATTAGTTACCTAGTTACCGCCTTTATTTCATCTAACAAAAACCCGGTTCTCATATTCAAACTATGGTATAAACACAAGCAGCTGTGTAAGAACTTTCCCTAACTATAATAATCTAAAATTGGTCTAAACTTTTGATATAAATCAGGAACTCAAAATACGCTATATTATGATTCTGATCAGAGATTTGATGGCCGCTTTCAATAGTTTCCAATATAACGTTGTGTGTAAAATACGTGGTAAAATAATAACACCTAGTTTTATTGGCACTGGTAGAGGTGCAGCTAACAATTCTTTTTTATAGTTCTTTTGGGATTTAATTGTTCAGTCTAAATATGTTGCAACTAACAGCCCAAAGCCAAAAGATGTTCAATTGTCAATTGTATAAAGCGTAAGAAAACAGCAAATTCTCACATCATTTTATTTAGGTATTGATGAATGATCTTAACAATGAATCAGTGAGAATTAATCTCATAATCTGTCGTTGAAGATGGTTGAAAGGCCCCAGCGAAGTTCTAATAATCAAACCCATCCCTTTTGGAAACTACGAATATGAAATGGCCAAAAAATGTGAAATTTGATGAAGCTGATGTCACACAGTGAACTAGTGTATGAACTCTAATGCGTTGCACTAATCTGCGTTTGTTCGTCTGATTTCAGACCGGTCACTATTCTGCTGCCTCAACACAAAAAAATAGGTGTGTGTCACCTACTAGGGTGTGTGTGCGTGAGTGCTTCTGTGGGTCTGTTCCAGGCTTCGCTACGACGCCGCAGTCCCTCCGAGTGTCGGCAGCAGTGCAGACACCAGCTGATCTGAATACTGATTTCCAGCTCGATGGCTGCGACTGCTAGCCCAGCCGCCATAGTGCCGAACTCCATTCAAGCCGAGCAGCGTAGTGTCGTTGCGCGTTGTGTAATACAGTGTAGTAGGGTGCATTTGAGGTGAACGCGGCAGCTATGCAGAGAGAGAGAGAGAGGGAGAGGGGAGGGAGAGCGGGAGGGAGACGACAGAGAGGTGCAGAGATTTGGGCAGAGAGAAAGAGAGTGTGAGAGCATCCCTAACTGCCGTTGTTGCTATTTATAGCCGAGCTCTACTCCACAGTCCTGAAATGCTCTCCCACCTCCCACATATAGAGACAAATCAGCCTACACACACACACACTCGTTGACAAAATAATTTGACATGCAGAAATACAGCGAGCACAGAAAAGGTAGACTGGCTTTTGCACACAGCACATCCTGCTCACCAGAAGAAAAACAAAAAGGATCTATGAATGAATGAGAGGTAGAGCGCAGAGATATTTGTTTGACAATCAAGGTCAGTTTTTGCTTCATCACGAGCTCTGCAATAATTCATCCTGTTTATCAGAGAGAGTGTTTGCGATAGAGGAACAGGGTGGAGGGAGAGCGGAGGGTGCGTTCGTCCTCACAATAACTAGTTGTTTGTCTTGTCAGATTGTATGAAAGGGCTTTGGAGGGAAAGAGGAGAGAGGGAGCAGCAGAGGAGGAGAAAAATAAATCCGTGCCTTCTTTTTTCTTTATTTCTTTTTTTTTTTTTAAATTTGGTGTGACAGCCTCACTGCCCAGCTGCTTCCAACAGTGTCTGCGTGCACAGAGAGGACAAACCGACAGAGACAAGACATTTTAAGGAGGAAGAAAAACAACAACAGCCATCTCTGACCTCTGAACTTGCCACTCCCCCTTGCCCCTCCCACCGCAACACCGGAAACATGGGGAGGAAAAAGATCCAGATTCAGAGGATCACTGACGAACGCAACAGACAGGTTAGCACCAATTAAGTGAGCGTACAATATCTGAATGTATAATAACTTCCTGATTGAACTCACTTCAGTTAGCAGCTGCGTCTGTGACGAGCAACCTGATTAGAGCATCAATAACACAGACAGGTGACAAATTAAAGGGAAAAACCTGAATAAATTAAACTAGCAGATGATGGTTGGGAATAATCTTGTATTAATAAGGGGCGGATGGGTGGGTATAGCTCGGGTGGTAGAGCAGGTCAGCTATTAACCGTAGGGTTTGTGGTTCGATATCAAGCTTGTTAACATGCTGAACTGAACTCCTGATGTGATGAGCATGTATACAAAATAATCTTACAGTACTGGGCCACATTTTAAGGAATTCCTAAAAAAAAATAGCTGTCATGCATTCTATAAATATCTGTGTGATTTTCATACACATTTGCAATATTACAATACTTATTTTGGAAAAAATGTTGAGTGCTGCAGTTAAAGACCATCACTCACAATGCTCAAGTTAGCATCTCTGTGTTTACAGCTGGGGTTAACTGCAGTAGATAATAGTGTATCATTTGAGTTTGAATTTCCTCTGTTGATACCACCACCGCAACATTAGACCGCTGTATCTGTGTATCTGTGATCTGGCTGCGCTTGTATTATATTCACTTAATGATAAAGAGCAACGATGGGAAGCTTTGCCGTGTGTCATTACTGAATAATTAGTTTCTTCAGCTTGCTTAATGTTGGCTTCAGTTTTATCTCCACCGGCATCAGAGAAAAAACATACAGCTGTCTCCACCTCCTTTGTGGAGCCTCCGTAGCCCCAACGAGTAGTTAAACCTTTGAGATGGCGCACAACATTTGCAAAGCCTAGTTTGGTACCATGCAGAAGCACAACATTTAGTTTATTTAGTCAATTTCTTTGATAAAACTACAGGTTTTGTCGTGATGGCGTCCTTTGTCAAGCTTGAAATGACATGGTTATCCAATAAATCAAATATTTGACTGACTTGAACTCCCTGTATAAGTAAATATCCTTTAATCCGTCCTGCTCAGATCTAAGGAAGGATAATTTCCACTCCCCCATAACTGAATTCCATCGTGGTGACAGAAAACTGTAACTCATGCGATAACAAATTCCCACAGGGATCCTTGCTGTTTTCACATGTCCCATGTAGCATGAACAACATAGTCGCTGTTCTCTCAGCAGTGCCACAACAGAACAATATAATAGCATCATGTTTTATGAGGCTCACATGACTCTGCAAAGCAATCATGGGGTTTCTCAGACTGCCCCCCCTCTCCCACCCTTCTTCCTCCCTACAGGGAAAAAAGAGCAAGAAAGTATGATATTCCCCCTTAAAAAATGCCTCAGCCCCTCCGGTTACATCAGCAGCATTGTCAGAGAGGATGAAAGGGTAAATGATCCATCTAAAATGAGTCAACTGGTAAATGGGCTTCGCTCCATTGAGCAGATTGAGTAATGGATTTGACGTGCCCACCTTCAAAAGCAGAGAGAGAAGGAAAACAAGAAGACAGAGAGAGGCAGAGGGAGAGAAACAAGGTGCCTGGCTGTGTAAGACCTGAGCTGGCCGTAGGGTTTGGAAAATCATCCTCAGTTTTTTCCTCATCAATCTGAGCAGGTCGCATTTCCATAAAGCAGAACAAACGGCGCCTGCAGGGGGTCAGCGGAGTATGATGGCTAGTTATTCATCAGTACACAATTGGACATAAAGGAGGAGGGGGGTGCAACTGTTTCTGGTCGGGCAGGCTCTGGTTAATGGAGCCAGCTTTGTATCAGGTGTCGAACAGTTTGTCAATAAGGTGATGCACTCTGTGGTAATACATGGTCATAGTGTCAGAATCAAAGATTACTCATTGACCGCGATCAGGCGATTAACGAGCAGCAAATGGTTTCTTAATCACTGCGGCGAACCCATCGGGGTGATGACATTTTGATGCCAGTATTGAACCAAAACTGCACTCAGCATTTACATTTCACATACTGTTTATCTGATACTCTTATCCAGAAGCATTTAAACAGTGAAATAGGATTCGGTTCTTCTATCAGCAACATTAAGAAAGTCTGCTGTGTTTGAAGTGGAACAGTATTAAGCTGGTAAAGAAGTAAATGGTTTTTACACGCTTGCTTGCTGTTGCTTCAGCTAATGAACAGTGCAGCTACTGAAAGGAAATCAAATGAATTTTGGAGTACATGCAGCCCGTCACCCTCCTACGTGTTGATTCAGAGATGCTGCCATAAGCTCCGCAAAATAAACAGCGTTCAGAGTGTGGGCCCCGGCTGGAAACATGACAGCATCTCAAACACCACATTTCTTATGGAGACAAAGACACACGAGAAAGAACAAGTGCACAGGACTGGAAATGTTTGGATTCATCTGACGGATTTTTATTTTTGGGTAGTGTGCGTCTGTTTGAGAGAAAGGGTTGACAGTGTGACCCTTCTGGCTGGAAGGGGTGAAGAACGATGAACCTATCCAGCAAAATGCAAAAGTACATGAAATATAGAGTTATTTCAATCATCCAGGGTTTGAGCATTAAAAGTCTTGTTCATTTTCTGCAAAGAAAATATTAGAAAATTTCTGGTTCTTTCATAAAAAGTCAAAGGTACAGGACTTGGTACATAAAAACTTCAAAAGAGAAGTCAATTATGACTCCCAGAAAGCATTTGGGTTGAAACATCAAATCACACAGCTTGAAATATTTTTTCTTTGGACATAGAGCAGAAGTTAAAGTTTAAACTTTGAACTGTAGCAACCTGATTATACATTTAGCAATTTAAATCAGTTTGCTGACAGATTCCAGGTCAGTTTTGGATGAATTCAGCATCTCTGGAACAGTGCATTGATTCCAGTAGACCTTTTTCACAGCAACCATTTTGACATGAAATACACAGGTGTTACCAATGATAGTTCCCTGTGTTTACTTTACTATTTCATGTCAAAACGTTTGCTGTGAAAAAGGTCTAATTTGCTGCAGCCCTGTTTTGCTTAGCTGAGGCTCATGGGTACCATAGTGTTTAAAGCCATCCAAACCAGACCACCATACCAAACTGACGAAAATATATAACGGAGATTTCACAATTTCTCAGTAATGTTTAAATGATTACAACTGATGGTCACAACATAACCCCTATAATGTTAAACGATCCAGAAGACTCCTGTGTTTCTATCTTGAGAAACATGGAGGTGTGCAGCTGGAGGAGCTGCTGGTTCTGGTTGTACATTTCCCTTCTCTGAATAATCAATCCAGAATTTGTCTCCAGGAAAATGTTACAGTGTTTGTGTTGTGACCACCAGTTTTACATAAAAACACACATTTTGAGTTTGGCGGCTCCAAATACCAGAATGCCCATGAGCCTCAGTGCCAATCAGAGCTGTAGCAAACTCAAAATGTTTTGTCTGAATTCATCCAAAATTAACCCAAAATCTGAATGTGAACTGACTCAAGATGCAGATGGTGTGTTCTGTGTAATATTTAGTAAGTTAGCAACACAGGTAACATCTTTTCTTTTTAAGCTCTGTGATTGGATGTTTATGCACCTTGGAAGTTATAGTTGATCTCCTTACATTTGTATATCCACAGGCTTGGGCCTTTTGACTTTTTATCAAAAAACAGATATTTCCTTAATTTTTTTGTACTGATAATTCAGATTCCACTGTCATCTAACTTTGTCTGTGAGAAAACAGACAGGATTTTAATTCTAAAAACCTGTATGCCTGAAATAACGTGTGCGTTACAAAGACTTAGCTGCGTCACATTACACAGAAAAATAAGGCTGAAAACAGCAGGCAGCCTTTTAAAAAGGGAGAGAGCAGAGTTCATTGATCAATTATTCAAGTTGAAAAGTTTCATCCATGATACGTGCTTTCCTCACCGCTAAAGCCTTCAGACTGATACAAAAGCGTCATGTACTGATCAGTGTCAGTTTTAACTGTTCAGGCCTGATTGTGTGAGCCAGACTGTAAGCTAGCAAATGAAAGAGAGGTTTTAGCTACAGGAAACAGCGAGAGGAGGTTGCGGTTGTCAGTGGTGGTTTCCTCATCCATCTGCCACACAACCACAACCTCGCCAAGACACACACACACACACA